CGCTTATTTTTTGATGCATTTTACATATAAACTTATAGATGATAGCCATTTTCAATAAACATGTATTAATACTTTTTAAATCACTCTTTGTCTAATCCAGAACCAACGGTGAGGATCAATGGTGTATTACTAGCTCCATTTTTGTTTTTATTCGTTTTTTATCATTTTTATTTTTATTTTATATATTTCGCTATTAAGCAAAAATAACTATGGCATTTTTAAAATAACTATTTTGATGTAAATAAAAAATATAATATTCTCTATACAATATACTATAAAACTCTAAAAGTAATACTATAATATATATAATATAACAATATAATATACAATGTATGTGTATATACATGTAATATATCTATTATAATAAAAAAATATATAAAATGAAATACTGTTTGATACTGAAAGAATAAACAAACAAAAATAGATAAAAATATATAAATAAAAATAATAGAAGAAAACGTTAAATAACAATTAAAAACAAAAACTCATTCAGTCAGTAATCATTTCGTCGTTAATCCTGGATAAGACAAAGAGTAATTTACAAAATTTTAATATTTGCCTATTAAAAATGGCTATTGTGTAAAAATCTGTATGTAAAATACATTTGGAAATTAACATAAATATATACAAATTTGATCATACTGAAATAAAAAAAAAGCTGAAACATAATGTCACGTATGCAATACATATTTTGTATGACATTTTATTGTGATTAACAATTTTCCCAGCACTTTCCTGCATTATAAATATTATTTTTTTCTTTCATATAGTATATGTATATGTATATCAAGAAACACTGTGGATTTAATTTTTCAGGTTTTGGCTCGAGGCAAATTTTAGCTATTTTTATATACTTCCCTTATAAACAATTTTTATATATTCTCTTTTATATAGAAAAAGCATATAAATTTATATTATAATCAAATTATGCCAAAAATCAATGTTTTTAGTCAATAATCAATTTGCATGTTGCATTCTTTAATTAGATATATATTATCATCATTACCTTTTACTCGACCAGTTTTGATAAAACGGTGTTTTATCTTCTTAAAACTGTCTCTATGCGCGCTATAAAATAAACTTTATGCTGTGCTTCCAATATTAATTTCCGGTAAGAGAAACGGTGACTTTAAAATTAATTTGTTCTCAAGCGATAAGTCACTAGAATTCAATCTGTCCTATGAAAGATGATAGTTTCAGTCTCTTCTGAATTGCATCAAGAAATTTATAATGTGATTGAGTACCTGAAGCGTACAGGTAAACACCATAACATGAAAATCGATATTTGCATGCATAACGAGTTTATTAACAGCAATGGTGAACTCCTGATCTCTTAATGACTAAGTTTCAAAATTTATGATCAAAGAGAAATAATACAATAATTTTAAGTATTTTTTATATTTCTTTCTCTTTCTTTAAAAAAGGTTTAAGTAAAATATATAATTATCACAGTATGCAGAATTAAATATAAAGAATTTCTCAATGTTGTTTGAAAATAATTCAAGAATAATAGAACAGATTTTTTTATGAAATAACTTTGTAATTTTTTAGTAATAAAATATGCGCCTCTAATCTTGGTTATAAATATAAAAGACTTGAAAAACGATATTAAAAAGCATAAATTCTTTGCTAAAACATCGATTTCACCTTGTTTATTATTTCAACTGTAAGAATTCTGAAATTATGCATACTAAAATGACTGATCGAATGCGGAACTGCGCGTTGTTATTTTCTACTAAACATCCCGAGAATTCCAAACTATGTACATAGCATTCAAACAGTCGACATTAACGAAAGAAAATACAAATACTTGTCTGTTTAAATTAAATTTTAAGAAACGAGTATTTTTGTCATATTACAGAACGTCTATACACGAAATGACTTTTATTTCTCGATGTTTCTGATGATGGAAAATCAGACAATAGGACGGTGTATACAGATATTTACTATAATTTAACCTAAATTTTTAAGGCTTTTATTTAATTTAAATATAAATGGTATTATTAGTAGAGTGTATTAAAGTCAGAATGTAGAATCAAGAATACAAACATATTTTTATTTTAGTTGTAATTATATTATTATAAAATTTAACTTATATATAAAATTAAAAGAATATATATATATATTCCACAAAATTATTTTAATAAAATACAATAATGAAATCAACACCAAGATATATATATATATAGATATAATAAATATTTTTTACGGGAAATATAGATACTTTATATACCATGATAAATATCTTTCGTTACGCATATTTTTACTCACGTGAAGGAAAATTCTAAATATCTCTCACAGTAAATTTATCTTTGGATAATATTTCTCAAAATATATTTTATGAATATGTTCCTTTCGCATGGATTATAATGCTGCCTCTAATTTGTAGAATGATAAGTCGAGATATACGTAGCAATCTTTTCCGCCTCTTTATACACCCACTGATAGCAATATCAATGGCTGTGCAAAAAGCAGATTTCACACGATTCATAATACGTCGATAACACACACCAAGTCGTGATTATAAACAACGAGCAGCAGGAAGCAATGCACGCACGTCATTACGTAAAGATGAATGGCGATTGGTTATGTAAGGTGCGGGAGTATTTATACGTCGGTCCAAAATAGTCCACAAACCACATTCGAAGGTGGCACGTTTCTCTAATAGCACATATGGTTGTCGACACACTTTTTTATTGGCAGCAAAGATATCGAACCACAATAAAAAAAACTCACATTTGATAAATTCAGTGTTAGATAGTAACTAGTTAAAACGTTAAAAGTTAAAAAGAAAGTTAAAAAGTTAATAACTTTTAACTTAACTTTAAGTTAATTTAGTTAATTTTAAATGCATTAAATTTTTACTTAACTAAGTTACTTTTAAATGTTAACTTTTTAACTTCTTTTTAAGTTAAAAATTTTTTTTATCTCTTTTAAATGCCTTAAAAAAATAATAAAATATAATAAGACTAAGGGCGTATATTCGTAATCCGTTCATATTTTAAGACCATCTTAAGTAATTTCTTAAGATGTGTGTTTGTGTGTGTGTGTGTGTGTGTGTGTGTGTGTGTGTGTGTGTGTGTGTGTGTGTGTGTGTGTGTGTGTGTGGTGTGCGCGCGCGCGCGCGCGCGCGTGCTAATACAGCCCTCTGATTGGCTTATGCTTTATGCCATAAGCCTTATGTCCGGATCTACAATAAGTGTTTTAAGCTTTAAGTCATAAGAAATTGACCAATTACAGGTCCATTTTTTACGGGGCTTAAGGCTTATTAAAAAGTAAAAACTTAAAAAGTTATGTTATATCATATGTGAATAAAAAAATTAAAAATTTAATTTACTTAATAATTTATATTGTAGTTGTTATTTAATCTCATTTTTAAAAAAATTAGGACATTTTGGACCTCAAAAATAATTTTTTTCGAAACTAACTTTTTTTTAACTTAAGTTAATTCAATAACAATTTAACTTTCGGTAAGTTAATTTTTATTCCTTCAACTTTTAACTTAACTTTATTAATTTTGTAAAGCCATTAACTTTATTCAGTCAAAAAAAAACATTAACTAATCCAACTCTGGATAAATTAAAGAATGCTGATGTGGTATTTGAATATCTATCCACTCCGTTTAAGAGGAAACTAGCGACTATTTATTATTTGTATTATAGCACATATTCCATATCACATTTACTAATGTAATAAATTGATTGCTCAGCCGAGGCGGATCTTGTTTATTTTTATTGTCCGATTTGTGAATGTTCTTTTTTACTTTTCCATTAATGTAATATGTCTTTAAAGCATAGCCGAGTGCAAACTATTTCCAGATTTGTTGATGTTTCGGATTACATATGCTTGCCTTGATGCTCTACTCGTGTGAACAGTGTACATGGTCGATCGCGGAGAACCCAATATTTCAATGTTTACTTATTAAGATTTATGACACATGTGATAAAATACTGATATCACGAGTGCTACATCCTGAATTCCGAGACTTTATACTCCAACAGTGAATCAAAGAAATCATAAAAAATAACATTTGCATATATATTTTTATATTTTTTAACAATATTATTACAAATCACATGAAATTTTGTAATTACTTAATAATTAAATTTGATTTTCGTAACACACTATTTCACATCTTAAATTTTTCAAAATTATGATAAATGCACTACAATTATATATTATTCAGTTATCCAATAGACTAATTTATTATATACATGTATGATGTAAATGCGAACTATTACAATAATTCGAGCAACGTACATTAAACACTCGTGCACATGCATTAATCCACTTAACGTCAGATAAGTAGGAGACATTCATATATAGGTATACGAACATATATGCAAACACTAAGTGATTAAAAGCTTTAAAATAAAGAAAATATTACATAATATAAAGCTAGTTTTACTAAAGTTTTACTGAATTTTAAATTTTGACATATGCATAAGTATCGTTTTAATATTTATTAGAAAAATATTTTTTAATAAAGTAAAAATTTGATTATTTTTCTTGAGGATTATTTTTATAATAAAAATTAATTAATTTGTCTAGTTTCTTTATACTTACAAATAATTATAATCATCTTGGATTAATTTCAACATTAACAAAATTTATTTTAACAAAATGCGTTTATATAATAATGTTAATGTAAGTATTATAAATATCTTAAAGAAAAGTCAATATATAACAGAATTCATTTAATATATAATTTTTTAATATAAAAGTATTACATAATGTAAAAGAAAGAAAAAAAACTTTAATCAATAAATTTGAGACGAATTCAAATTCTTTACGATAAAATTATTATTATGCTACAATATTATAATGTACAGCTTAATATAAGATAAAATTTCTTTATGAAAGAAAAATGGTCAACATGAAAGAAAGACAACATGAAAAGAAAACGATCTATGTCGCTAATAGCATATACGAATTAGTAGCATGCATATAAAACATCAAAACACAATTTTGAACACAAGTTCTCCAGGAAGTAAACTTACCGGGATTTGATTAAGATTGATGTCAGATTTCTCCCTGTTGGGACAATTTGCAGTGTAACCAGGCTCCTGATTGAATCGCTTGCCAAACTTCAGAAGATTCCTCATAATCATGGTATTCATCACGATGATGAGTACAAGTGGCACGATCAGACTCGCTATACTGTCGATGATGCTAATGATCTGCATAGTTTCTAGGTACTCAATCTTCAATTCGCACACCTCGTCTCCGCCCTGGTTCTTTACCACCCCAGCAGTAACGAAGGAGTACGAGTGACTGAGTAAGGCGAGGATCGTTAATATCAGGATGATGGTTTTTGCACGCGCTACGGTGCACATATGCGGTCGATGCAGTGGATATTGAACAGCGATGAATCGCTCGACGGTGAAGGCGACGATTAGCCAAACACTAAGTGAACTGCAAACTGCGCTTACGTACACCAAAGTTTCGCACCAGCCATTATTGTTGAAGACTTTCCATCCGATCGTGCTATTAAGCCAGACGAGAAGCAGGGACATGAGAAAGCTAAAATCGGCGGTTGCTAACGCCGCCAAGTAATAACTAGAGCTGCGTAGCTTTAAATGCGTCTTAAGGAAAACCACGCATGACAACAGGTTGCCTACTAAGCCCAATAAGATGATGGATGGTATGTAGTACAGATGGCAAAAATCCAGAAGAAAGTAGAGCGAGGGGCAAAAGCCATCCGATTCTTCTTCTATGTCGAAAATCGTGTCAAGACTGTGATTTTGATAATCGTAGAATGTTAGGTTCGACCAGTCCGTCGGCGATGCTGATCTTCGGAATCGCGACAGGCCGCCGCCGATCGTCCCTGGTATTTGTTGACATCTCAAATCTTTACTTGATAATTTTTGAAACACGAACATGATTGCTCTCGATTGTGAAATAATATTGTCAGAAAAAAGCTTCCTTCGACGCACGTTGTTCCAAGAAACCAGCTTAGTCGGTCGCAATGTGCAAAATACATCGGTTTAAAAAACACATTGCAATATTATTTGCCATTCTCCAGACTCATTGATATTGACACGTCGTTAATATAGACCAGGCCAGTGTAGATCACAGAGTATGGAATCGAATGCTACAGGCAAAGTGATTGTCCATCGAGAATTCCCAGTTCTTTTTCGGAGTGCATAATTCACATGTCAATTTGATCAAATCTGTTGGATAAGGTCGTATGTATTGTGCGTTTGACGAAGGCCTGTCAAAGTCATAGATATCGTTGACATAAACCACAATAATGTCCTACGCAGAATTGTGTTAAATATTTGAATCACGCGTAATAAGCACTATAATACGTTATTCGACAAAGATTCTCTGTTTTTTTTCACAAGTGTCCAATGTGACGCTGTGTAAAAATTAGTTAGCAATGAATAATAAAAACTTAATATAACTTTTCTAAATTTGTAAGCAATTAATAATAATTATAAATAATAGATTGCAATATCATTGACAGATTTAGATCGAAAATTAGATGTTTGATTCACATCAAAATCTACACATCTTTATCTAATTGAATTTTTAAAAAAATCCATAATATTAAACTAAAAGGTTATTTGATCTGACACACTGATTGCAACGCGACGCATTCCGCTTCGGACAAACGCGGCTGGTTGGAGGTTTTCCAACGTCGCTGACACGGACCATCGGTAGCACAGGATTGCGTTCGTTTGTTTTCGTTCAGCGAATATTTTTTCTGTCTAAATGTCCATTTGAGTGACATAATGAATCGTTTACACTTTAAGTTCGATTACGTTCGATTCAATTATGTTCGCAACAACATGCATTTGAACAATGCAGTTCCACGTGCGTGCATTTCGTTCGCAATTAGATTCAATTCCACTTAACCGCAAATTTACGGGCGGAACTATTTTTCGGATTCCATGATAATTCGTATTCATCATTTGGCTTCACCAAAGCGTGTGCTAATTCAATTTTGAGGAAATCGCGAAGTCATTATATTCACGCCAGTTGAGCTCAACATAACATGTTAAGTTATTGAGTTGTATCTTAATAGATAGTGCTCTGACGATACAGTTTTAACATAAATTCGATATCCATGTTAATTCCACATTAAACCGCATAACATGTAAGTTAATTGAATTGACTTGCAATTTGCAAGTAGAGTATAGTATCAAAAGCAATTATCGAAATGGATTTAAATACAAGTGGACGACAATAATTCACGCGCAAAATTTCATATAATACAGTTCGTCTTTCATACAAAACCTTTATATCCTTTATGATCCGCATAACGTACCATATTAATAAGAACAAAAATGCATCGTCGGTCGCAATTCAATACATTTCTTCGCATTTTCATTAACGTGGTGTAAAAGGGAAACGTAATGCATTAACAGTGCACTTAATAGCATTCTATAATTGATTTCTTAATTAAATTAACTATTACTTTTTGTTTATTTCGCGTGCGACTAATTATAAACCGATATGTTTAATACATTAAAAGCTTTCGCAGCTTGTAATATTACTTGATCGCGAGATAAACGCGGAAATGTGGTAGAGTTGATAAACAGCGTTTCCGCAAGAATGCAATTTCATTGTACAGTTTACTTCGGTACTTGTTCAACCTTGGATAGATTTCGAATCTGTAGTACATAGTTTGGCTCAACAATTGTAATTTAGAAGAATTCAATGTTTCTCCAGAATACTATAGCTGTTCAATATGTCATACATATTGAACAGCTATAGTATTGATTTATACTTACATCTTTTAAATTATATTTAAACTTTAATATCTATTAAACTAATTTTCATATAAACATTTTTTATCTGTTGAATTATTCGGATTATTGAATTTTTCGCGTTATTAAGCTATTATCAAATTGTTAAATTAATATTTATAACTTAATATTTAATTAACAGGGTAGAAAATATATGTAATTTTGAACAAGACAGATATAAAATTACCAGCGGCACTTTTAAATCATGTGTCACAAAGAATAAAACCATTTACGTCATCCGATTCTTTTACACGCATTTTACTTACCGTTTAATTAAATTGTATTATCAATTCAAACGTATGTATCATTCAATATACGAAGTATATCGCTCCTTAAATAGAAAATATGTAATTTTAAACAAAAAAGATATAAAATTACCAGCGGCACTTTTAAGTCATATGTCATAGATAATAAGATCATTTCTAGCATTTAATTTTCTACACACACTTTTATCATTTTAATTTTGCCTTTTCTCATTTTCTCGTTCGTCACCACACATAGAAAATTCACAGACGAAGATTGAAGATATAATATATCTTCCCGATGTAGCGATGTTGCACAGCATTATTGCAGATACATTTAAGAATTTTCATCGTCACTTTATCTGATGAGGTTTTTTCATGATTTGATTAAAATTCCACAAAAGGTCGTCTCATTCCTTTCTATCGACCCTTAATCCCTCTAATCGTCGAAAACCCGATTTCTTTTCCTTGATACTGAAATTGTATGATTAAAATCTTGTCAAAAGATTTCCGATATTCAAATTTTTTGTAGCTTTAATCGTAACTAAAAAATGTAATGAATCCGTAATTTCCGTTCAAATTGAAGGAAGATCGCAAAAAACGTTTGAAAACGTACGTTTTATTTATCACTGAGAATTTACTGTCAGTTTTATCGATACGATAATCAAACTATCTAGTTTGTTTAAAGCCTTGATTTAAAAAAAACTAAATTTTTAAACAATTCGATAAAAACAGCATTCATTTTAAAATTCGTACTTTTTGTATTTAAATTTATCTCACATAAAAATGTCCAGAAACCTTTCGATTATTTTCTCCCGGAATAAAACTCTTTGATTCCCTAATGTGAAATCAACAGTAAAAAAAGGCTACAAGTTTTAAAATACGATCCACCAAACGCCACGCGTGCGAAAAATTTGTTTTACAATTTTTACACTTAATTAAAACCGTCAAAAGGTAGGAAAATATACGCGTCGTGCGTTGAGAAACGTCGACGGGTAAACTGGGGGAGCGGACCACTCTACGAACGCATCTGTGCCAGCCGAAAAGTTTAGCCGCATGCGCTTTATAGGGATCCTGCCGGCGTCACGACGGACGCCGCTGACATCGACGTCGCCAGCGTCGTTGGGTTTCGCACTATTATACGTCTCACAATTTCCAGGATATAATAGCAAAGGAAAGAGATTCGTACTATATACATGTTTAAATCTAAACAAATTAGGAAACCATCGTGGTATTGTGATTTGAAGAATCTTCAAAATCTTCACACAAGCGAAAATATATTACTAGATTTTCGATGAGCAAAATATTTTAATATTGACGTATGAAAAAAATACTGTTAGTTCTATGTGAAAAACATCTCATTTGAATTTCGATTAGAGATAAATTGAGTTTTTTTGAGTCGTAAAAGATTCCTCGCCATCACATCTACGTGAAACTTTCTAGTGTTTCTATTGCCCGTCTCTATATTAGGAGAAGGATTAAAAATGACCTATTTGAATAAATTTTTTGTTCAATGGCGAGCAGGTTTTATCAAACATTTTTACTAAAAGCTTCAATAGGTTTTATTACAAATCGACGATATTTCACAGAATTTTGGGAATATAAGTATATTTTAGTAGATGATACATCAATTTTAATTTAACAGAATTTTATTTCGCAATTTCGTTCGATTTAAAGCTAAAATATTTAATGTTAAAATTTTTTAATGCAAAAAATGCCGGTTCTTCAAAATATGATTTTTTGCTAAAATTAGATATTGGATGCATTATAGGAACTGGAATTAAATCGTTACATTTTTCATGTAATTACACGGAAAGATCTAACAATTTTGCTAAAGTTTTTGTTAGATACAGATCCAAAATAATTTTGTGAGACTATTAAAATAATTATGTAGTATATTCAAGTATGAGTAATTTTGCAAAAAATTTTGACATTTTAACAATTAGCTTGAGCATATTCTATACAATTATTTTGATGGTCGAACACAAAATTATTTTCATATCTATCTTATCTAGCTAATTTTTTAAATATTTTAGTAAAATCGTTCTTTTCATCTGACAAATCTCTTACTACAGTGGATTTATCGTCTACATTTCCAATAATTTCTATATGAACGTATAATATATCTAACAAATGTTGAATATATGTTTAATTATGCATGAGTTATTGATTACCATTATTACATTAGCAAACATTAGTAAATGCTCAGCTTTTTTACAAACTTGATAATCGATAATGCGAATTGCATTAAATCCATTTTGCTGAGAACATCAAGTTATTTTTCTGTAATGATTGAAGATCTTCAATGACTATCAGATATTCTTTTAAAAAAAAAGAGGAAAAATGAATATATCATCTCGATTTTATTGACTAATCCTTAAACCACAAAAATAAAATATGTACATAAAAATTAATAGTAATTATATTTCCGGCGTAACGAACATAACAACTCGGATTTTTGAATCTAGGAAGAAAGGCAACGTATCTTATATTTAAATTCTATTAGGTATAATTTTTTTTATTGAGTTTTATAAAAATTTTAAGAGACAAATATTTATCATTGAGAAAAATATAAAACTATATTACAATATTTATTTTAATATTGCTTGACTCTCAAGAATAATATTTTAATTAATATATATATTTGTTTAACGTATGTATATTTTTATTTAAACGATTTTAATCGTCTATGCAATCAAACCTTACTACGTTAGTTTTCGATGGCTTCGTTAGTAATGTAATTTTAGTGCTACGCTGTTGAGTAATAACAGTTTGCTAGCTTCTGCACCCGTCACAAACTACATTTGTTTAATAAGTTATATTATACATTATGTTTGATGAAAAGATTAACAATTGTTTAATTAATATTTATATAAGAAAGAAAATACCATTTTATACCACTTATTATTACTATAAAAGTCGTCTTAAATTAAGATTTGCTATGGTAAAATATTTATGCAACTTGTATTTGATTAGTTCTGAGAAATAGGATAATATAATATTATGTGTTATATTTGACTTACTAAACAATAGGATTAACAGCGCAATGTGGAAATGGATATAACTCGAAAACAAACTTTGCACACAAACCTAACCGAATTTCGAATATGGCACAAACGTAGTACAAACTATTTTACAGTTTACTGTGTACAGTTACTGAGCGTTTCTATTTTCGAATAAAATTCTACATATAGCATTGATGTGCATAGACATTTGTTACGATAAACACTTTCGGTTTATAGCTCTAGTTTGACACATTATTGACTGATATTAACAAAGAAACAAGAACATGTTGATAAAGCCTTTTCAGATGTATTAATAAAATATAAATTTTTATATATGCTCTTTTATATATACAATAAAAATACAGGTTTTAATAGAAATAGTAATTAAATAATATCTGAATTTTTTCAGTGTTACAAAGTCCTAAAGCACACATGTACAAGTTTGAAAGGTCAATTACAACCAAATGGCAAACCGTTTACAACAGTTATCACGTATGCATTGAATCCGAAAGCTATAACAATAGGACAACTATATGGCGAGTACGATCTCGATACACGTGAATGGTAAATAATATTACCCGATATTATATTAAAGAATAAAATTCCGAAATTACAGAACTTTAATTTAAAATTATTGTTAGATACATGCTCTGCATTATGTGCTAAAATTATAAATGCAAGCTTTTAAACTTGAACAATTTTTAAGATATAACAACAAATTTCAAACAAAATATTTTTCATTTAAAACAAAATTTATTTTATTAAAACATTACAATTACAAATTTTCTAAACCTTAACCCGTTTATAATAGTAGCATTGATGAAAAATCGATAAATTTTATATAAAGTTTCTTTCTAAATATTTTTCTTTATTTTTTACCTAACTTTTATTTAATTTCTTTAAAAAAAGTTTCAATTTAAATAAAACTTTTTCCATTATGTTTATATATAACAAAGGAGAATAATAAAAAGGAAAGAGCAGACAAAAAGAAAAAAGGGATATTATCTTAAAAGGGAGATTATATATAGTCTGCTCGTGTCAATCGGTAATCATCAGTATAAGTTTCGGTTTTCGTTTGCTTCATAATCCAGAAAATTATTTCATTGAAACTTTTCCATAAAGTTTGCGAGATCGTAAAGTTTGCAGGATATAATTAGATCTATTTTTTAGTTTTATTGTAAATAACTTTTTCGTGCTAAATTTAATAAAATATTTGCTAAAATACATTTATATATATTATAATAAATTCTCTTGAATATTATTATACAACTGAATTAACATACAATTAGCTAATATACAGATATATTTTATGATGACATATTTAGTTACTAATAGGGGGTATGAAATTCTATATAATACCGATAAAACCAGAAAATCTTCAAAATAGACACGAAATTCAGGATATTGAATGCACCACACGTCCGATTTGTAGGACAGATGGAATATTACCAACTTTAATACGGACGGATATAGCAACGGCAGATTGCGATAAACGGTGGTATATTTTTGATGGACCAGTCGATGCAGTATGGATCGAGAATTTGAATACTGTCCTGGACGATAATAAAAAGCTTTGTCTCACATCGGGGGAAATAATGAAACTATTGCCAACTCAAACCATAATGTTTGAAGTATCAGATCTTCGAGTAGCCTCACCGGCTACAGTTTCAAGGTAATGAAAAAATTTTATAAATTTTAAATATCGTCTTAACAGTTACAGAAAAATGAATAATATTAATATACATATTGAACTGCAAATTCAATATCTTCCTCTTTTAACTTTTTTATACTGTTAATCGTTGAAATGTATATTATTAAAAACGGCACAAAGATTTTTTCTATTTTTGAAATATTCAGAACATAATTTTCTTTCTATTAAATTTGTCTGCTTTAATTCAAATTGACAATAAATAAAGCTTATAATTATTAATAGAGACAAGAAGAATTACACAATTTTTACATTCTATGATTTGAGTATATATTAATCATGATTACTAATGAGTACTAAAGAAATTATCTGACAGAGAAAAATCTAACAAGACACAAAGCCATTAATTACAAAATTATCAAT